GGAAGAAATTGATACCAGTCAATTATCTTCACTTTATTTCATGGCCCCAAATGAGGTTCCTCAGTATATTGGGATTATCCGATTGCTTCAGTTTTTTGGATGGAAGTGGATTGGGCTCTTTGCTGCTGATACTGAGAGTGGAGAAAATTTTTTGCAGAAATTGCAGCCGCTGCTTTCCCAGCAGAGAATCTGTTTAGCTTTCACACAAAGATTTCCAAAACTGTTCCGTTTGGATGACTTGGACAAATTTAGTGATATAATGTCCAACTTTTTTACCCATTTCACAGACATTAAAACAAATGCATATATCCTCTATGGAGAATCTTTGACACTTGCATGGCTCACAGCTCTCAAATTTCTATGGGATGCTGCAAATAAGGGAAATACATCTTTATGTAAGGTGTGGATCACCACAACCCAAATTGATTTCATGCTAACAGGAAACCAAAAGAATTGGGATCTCCAACTGTATGATGGGGCCATTTCCTTTCAAATCCATTCAAGTGAAAATCTGGAATTCAAGGAATTTCTTCAGTCCATAAAACCATATTCAAAGCACAAAGATAGATTTCGAAACCATTTTTGGGAGCAAGCATTTGACTGCTTCTTTCCTAATTCGGAATGGTCACCAATGGGCAGTCAAAAATGCACTGGGGAAGAAGAACTGGGAAGCCTTCCTGAACCTCTGTTTCAATTACAGATGACAGGTCACAGCTACAGTATCTATAATGGAATTTATGCTGTGGCTCATTCTTTGCATACCATGCGATTAAAGGGATCCAATCAGAGAAAAATAGTGGCGGGTAAAATGGCTGAATCTCCAGAACTACAGCCTTTTAAGGTAACATTTGTCCAACAGAAATATTTTCCTTTCGATGAAGAATTTGGTACAACATAATTTAGGTCACAAAATGAGCTATGCCTAAATTCCAGGTACAGCGATCATTAAAACAATGATCTTCAACACCCTAGTTAGAATGCATTTAACTTTTTCCTCAAGGAAGTTTGCCTCACGCAATTCTGTATATGTTATTGACTGTCTATACTTTGTGGGTTGACCTCTTGTGCTATCAAAGAAAAAGGGAAACATGAAGTTCTTTACAATACATACTCTCTGTTTTGTATTGGCATTTTGTCCAATAAAACCTCATAAAGAATTTCAGAAATAAAACATGGAAAGTCTAATATGTTCATTTCTTTCCTTATTGTTATTTCAACTTCCTCTCTTTCTTCTTCATTTTGAACTAGCTCCATCCATATCTTCAAGGCATTTCTTTCAACAATTCAGCAGGAGAGAGGGTGTCCTTTAATGAGAAGAAGGAAGTTGCAGGAGGATTTGACATCATCAACTTGATCACTTTTCCAAACAAGTCCATCCGGACTGTCAAAGTTGGAAGGCTAGATATCAAAGCTTCTTATGGAAATGAACTGATCATTAATGAAAATCTAATTGAATGGCACAAAGGTTTTAATCAGGTATCGGCCTACATACATGTAGAATGTTTAAAAATTTACAGCTTCCTTAAAGAATAGAAAAGATTTCAGTTAAAATGTCTCCAACTGATCTTTGCTGGCCATGATTCTCCTTATAAGATGATTAGTTGACTCTATTTTCAGCTGATGAAAAAGCATAACAGATTGGCAACTACCTCTGCAAACTTTTCCATGTTATGAGCAGGTTCTGCCAGTTTCTCTGTGCAATGAATACTGTCACCCTGGATTTTGGAAGAGAAAGTCTGAAAGGAAAACGTTCTGCTGCTATGATTGCATTCCATGTCCCCAGGGGAAGATTTCAAGCAAGATAGGTCAGTTATGAAGTCCTTCAATTTTTTATGACACTGAGTGGAAAGAAATTGCTTCATCACAATTTATTTATTGCTAAGGGTGAGTCTGTGGTGCAGGGAACACAGCTAACCCATATTCATCTTATTTAGTAATATTCCCCAAACTCTGAAAATAAAAGAATAGCTTTAAAAATCCTGACAACACCACATGAAATCCCTTCTTTTTCAGAAAGCTTGCTCTAAATCCCAGAAAAATACAAACTGGGATTTAAAAAGAAATAAGAAAGTAAAGAAAATGATTAATTTTTAATTAGCATTAGGTTCGGGGATTGTCATCTGTGGATGCTCTCTATATAGTCCCAAGAGAAACTGGGGGCATTTTATATGGTAATCATGCACAGCACTACAGGAAAATACTATAGAGCACATTTAGGGAAGTATTAGAACTGCTGGTACATTCCTTGTAAAATGGAATGGGGAAAAATGCAGTGATCAGTATTATGTATAAATTACAGTCTATTAACTAATTAATTAAGCAAATGTCTAGGCTACCCAAATCCAAATGGCTTTGGGTACCTTGACAAATATGAAAATTATAAAATCAACACACTAAAACCAAAGAGATGACTGGCAGGGAACAGCAACCAAATTCTGTAACATCTAAATTTTAATTATTCATTATAATGAATGTCTCAAACTTCATGCTGCTTCATATCACACCTGATCAAACCATAGATTTTTGGTATACTTGGTATATATTTTGGAACAATTTTTTATGATGTTGGCTAGGGAAAAAAAAAAAAGTTTCATCAAAAGTTACCTCAAAAGTTTAGGTTTTCCAGGCAATAAAGCAAGGAACAAGGCTAACGCATATAAATCTCATTTATTAATAGTCTCCCAAAATTGAAAATATAATACCTTGCAGAATCCTGTCCTTCATACATGAAATCTCTTCTCTTATGGCATTTTATAAGCTGCAATACAAAAGTGATACATTTATTTGAGTTCCTGCAGATCTCATCTGTAGACCACAATGTAAAATTATGACCCAACTACATTTTATATGATGGTCATGACAATATAATGGATGGTATGTGGGAGAAAATTTAATATTATCTGCTTAATCCTTGCAAAATTGAATGGAATAATGCAATAATTAGCATAATATAGCTATTACATTGAGGATCCTTTCAATCAGTTGATATTAAATGAAGTCCTTTAGTTTTTTGTGACATTGCCTGCAAAGAAATTATTTCATCAAACATTACATATTGGTAAGGGTGAGTCTATGGTGCAGGGAACACTGCTAACCTCTGTTGATCTTATTTAGTGATACTCCCCAAAATCTGAGTATTCAAATATCCTGACAGAACCACATGAAATCCCTTATGTTTCAGAATGCTTGCTCCTAATCTCAGAAAACTACAAACTACGATTTAAAAAGAAAAGCAAAAGGAAAGAAAATGATTAATTTTTAATTGCAAATGGGGAAAAAAAAAACACAGTGATCAGTATTATGTATAGATCACAGTCTATTAGCTGATTAATTACTTAAGCAAATGTCTAGGCTACCTAACTCCAAATGATTCTGGGTATCTTGACAAATATGAAAATTATAAAATCAACAATAAAACCAAATTGATGACTCGCAGGTGTGATGGAATGGAATTATGAAGG